TGACGCTGAAAGCGGGCGGACGAAATAGAAAATTGATGTTTTCGGTTTGACGTTTCTAAAAAAAATCATTTTTTTTCGTTAGTGAATCTGATTTCAAATTAGCATTACAAAAACAAACGAGATGCGTCAAAAATTGTTTTTGTCAGTTTGTTGGGCTCATTGTGCGGGTACCTATTCTGCAGTCAAAATCGTAAAACATTAATGTTTATGTAATTTAAATTGCAAAAATGTAAAACCATGAAAATTGACGTTTTAATAAAGATATGAATTTGCTTAAATGCATTTGAACTTTAGTTCGTTCAGTAGCAGGGAACATTGTAGTAGTTAGTATACATTTAGAGTTGAAGAACAATGGAATTTGGTAAGTTTTTTTTATAGTATAAAGTTTTACGTTTATTTATACAACTTCTTCAGCAAAGATATATACAGTTTTAACTATACTAAAACAAATTTTTTTAATACACTAAACCAAACAATTAAAGGGTCAAAAGAATTTCCGAAATTTTTCCTGTATGTAAGTGAAAAATGGTCGTATCGAGAATTAAAAAAAAAAGCATTTTGAAGCTCTAAGATTCTAGTTTTTAGATCTTTCGGTAGAAAATTTTTAGGAGCTACGGTTTTCAAGCAATTCTAAGAAATAACGCGAAAAAAAAATTTTGCAAATTTTTTTATTCTTTTTCCGAGTTCACGGACTTGGAAATTTTTTTTTCAGCTAAGCCATTGCATGGACCAGATACCTTGTTTATTCAGCTTCAATTTCCTCTTTTTTTAAATTTCGATACGATTTTCTAATGGAAAAGGATCCATTTCTCTTCAGTCATCAACATCTCGACGATGGTCGTACAGAGAATTGAAGGGCAGTTTCGAAAACTGGAATAAATTTCTTATAATATGCTGCCGCAACTTTTCGGAATTTTTTTTTTCATCTTTTACACGAATTTTAAAAAACAGGAAAAAAGGGTAATTTATGTTTTTTTTAGAAAATTGACGGCTAAATTAAAAATATTCACGCAATAACTAAATAACAAACAAGTTAAGCATGACTTTTACAGTTCGATATACCCAGAAGAACCCTGTGAAGATTCATCTCGATCTATCGAACCGTTTCTTTGTTTCAAACGGTCAAACTTTTGATAANCCATCCGATATTTAAGTGAAAAATGGTCGTATCGGGAATTAAAAAAAAGCATTTTGAAGCTCTAAGATTCTAGTTTTTAGATCTTTCGGTAGAAAATTTTTAGGAGCTACGGTTTTCAAGCAATTCTAAGAAATAACGCGAAAAAAAAATTTTGCAAATTTTTTTATTCTTTTTCCGAGTTCACGGACTTGGAAATTTTTTTTTCAGCTAAGCCATTGCATGGACCAGATACCTTGTTTATTTAGCTTTAATTTCCTTTTTTTTTAAATTTCGATACGACCAATATTCATCGAAATATCGGATGGAAAGGGATCCTTTTGTCTTCAATCATCGATATCTCGGTGACAAATGGTTGTACAGAGAATTGAAGAGCAGTTTCGAAAACTGTAATAAATGTCCTATAACATACTGCCGCAACTTTTCGGAATTTTTTTTTTTTCGTCTTTTACACGAATTTAAAAAAAAACAGGAAAAAAAGGGTAATTTATGTTTTTTTAGAAAAATTGACGGCTAAATTAGAAATATTCACGAAATGACTAATGTTAAGCATGACTTTTACAGTTTCGTGAATATTTCTAATTTAGCCGTCAATTTTCTAAAAAAACATAAATTACCTTTTTTTCCNAACGCGAAAAAAAAATTTTGCAAATTTTTTTATTCCTTTTCCGAGTTCCGAAATGACTAATGTTAAGCATGACTTTTACAGTTTCGTGAATATTTCTAATTTAGCCGTCAATTTTCTAAAAAAACATAAATTACCTTTTTTTCCTGTTTTTTTTTTGAATTCGTGTAAAAGACGAAAAGTTGCGGCAGTATGTTATAAAAATTTTCGACCGAAAGATCTAGAAACTAGAATCCTAGAGCTTCAAAATGCTTTTTTTTAATTCTCGATACGACCATTTTTCACTTAAATACAGTCTGTCAAAAATCACGGGAAAATTTCGGAAATTCTTTTGGCCCTTTAATTGTTTGATTTAGTGTATATTTTCATATCTTATTAATTTTCGTGGTGCTTATTTATTTATTAAGAAAAACGTGGTAGTTTCCATATGGATACAACGAAAAAAAATCGACCTATTCGATTTTTTTGAAACTTTGGAATGTTAATCTACTTTGAATTTTACGAGACCAGTGTTTTTTCTTTTTCCGAAAAAAATTGTGGAACTCTGGCCTGTCAATTTACATCGTGATAGCGTTATTCAGAAAATGAAAATGCATATTTTTTTCAAGTGTCGTCATTTTGACCCAAATCATCCTATGGAAACGTTTTTTTTTCAAGATGTGAAGAATATCATCAGTTTTTTACTGATTTTTTTTTTCAGGATTCAAATCGCTTTAAAAGTTTCTGAGGTAAATGAGAAAAACCGAAAAAAGTTTTTTTTTCAAAATTGATTTTCTCAAAAACTCCGCCTTTCAATTCTACCAAATTTGGATATGTTTTTGCTTGAAGTTTCTAGTTTCAGGATTAGAAAGCGAAACAATTTTATCAATGACCATCCATCAGAAATCACAAGATAAAAAAAATTTTCGGTTCTCTTTCAAAATGTCCATGGACTTCATTAATTTCCCACACGTATCAGCTCGTTCGAGCTGTTCGAGAGCTTCATACAATGATTTGTCGCCGAGTTTTTTGGCTTTTTGGCTTTGACAACGCCGACGCAGAAAATAATATGATCATCATGATTTAATCTACTCGAGAATTTTGAGTAATTGGCAAGAAATAGTGAAAAATCGCCGAAAATCACGTCAGTGAGCTCAAAAAAAAATCGAAAAACTATTTTCTGAACTTGATCGAGTGGGTATCTTATGTATTTTGATGTGCCGAATCTAAATCTGAATTCTTTTAAGCTGCAACCCCCTCAGGTTTTGCAGAAATAGCAAAAGAATAGCGAAAAATCTGCAAAAGTAGCGAAAAAGTCGCCAAAAATCACGTTGGTGAGCTCAAAACATTCGAAAAAAAATTTTGAATGTGAGGACCATCAAAAATATCCTCTCCTAAATATTGAAAACAGTCACCGTCTTTGCCCAGAGCTTTGACAAACTGCTTCATTTCTTTCAATTAAAATCCCTCTTTCGAGAACTAACCCAGTCATTATAGTCATGAAAGAGCCTGTTTCGGGAAAAAAATATTATTAGAAGTTTCTCTGCGGAATATTGTTCGGAAACTTGTTATAAATAAAATATCAAAAAATCAACTCGAGGCTAGTTGGAAAACTTTGTTTTAACAGTGGTCAAAGTTATGGAAAAGTGGTTTTTTGACTCACGTAAAAAAGCTATTATTCATAGCGAAAAAAAGTTTATACAAAAAAGGTAGGTATTAAATAAGCCTATAAAATGAAAAAAGTCCGATTAAATTCCGATAATTTGTTTATGCACAAGAGCTCAAAAATGGTCGAAAATTGCCGTTTTTTTCAATTGCTAATAATTAATGCAATTTTCATCGCAGACACTTGTAATTCAGGATTTTTGAGGCTTTTTACACCCTTAATAAGTGGTAAAAATTTCAGCTCGAAAGCTTCATTGGTTTGGCGTTGGCGGAATTTGTTATCTAAGAAGATGCTATTTTCAATTCATTTTTCCCAAGCTCACAGGCGTTGTAGGGTTTTGATCATTAGTTGTTTTTGTACCTAAATAGTTGTATTGACATAGGCATTTACTGAGAATTTAGTTTTTCAAATTTAATTTGTTTAAAATTGACTGAAAAAATGTTAATATTTATTAAATTGTTAAGATAGGTAATTATTATAAAATAAAATAGTAACCTCTTTACTTTAGTTTTCTTCGAATTTAAAAAAAAATCGTTGTTGTAAGTTGATTAGAAGCTGAGATAATTTTTTTTATTTATTTAATCGCAGTGACCTTAATTATTAATATTAAGAGCCGAAATTTGGAGAGAGTATACATTAAGAGCTATATTTTCATGTCCTACATTAACATTAAGGTGAATTCAACTATTTAATTTCGAAAAAGAAGATAGCGGCGATGCGTTCTATTACTTGGTCTAGCGAACGAGTGGGGAAGGCGAGGCTTAGCATGCGCGCTTAACGATGTAATAAATATTAACATTTTTTCAGTCATTTTTAAACAAATTAAATTTGAAAAATTAAATTATCAGTAAATGCATATGTCAATACAACTATTTAGGTACAAAAACAACTAATGATCGAAACCCTACAACGCCTGTGAGCTTGGGAAAAATGAATTGAAAATAGCATCTTCTTAGATAACAAATTCCGCCAACGCCAAGCTAATGAAGCTTTTGGGCTGAAATTTTTACCACTTATTAAGGGTGCAAAAAGCCTCAAAAATCCTGAATTACAAGTGTCTGCGATGAAAATTGCATTAATTATTAGCAATTGAAAAAAACGGACATTTTCGACCATTTTTGAGCTCTTGCGCATAAACAAATTATCGGAATTTAATCGGACTTGTCTTATTTTACAGATTTATTTAATACCTACCTTTTTTGTATAAACCTTTTTTCTCTATGAATAACAGTTTTTTTACGCGAGTCAAAAAACCACTTTTCCATAACTTTGACCATTGTTTTAACAAAGTTTCCCAACTAGTCTCGAGTTGATTTTTTGATATTTTGTTTATAACAAGTTTCTGAACAATATTTCGCAGAGAAACTTCTAATAGCATTTTTTCCCGAAAAAAAAGCTATACTGACTGGCCTAAACACCCTGATACACTTACCACGACCACTACCTTCAAATTTAATACCTACGGTTCATAGCACAAAAATAAGAAAATCTCATTACAGTAATGATAAGCTTTGTCCAATTGCTCCCATTCCTAGAGTATCACACAGAGTAAGTGAAACGTGGAGTGAGTTTATTTTTTATTATCAGGGCGTGACTTATCCGACCACACAACAATGGGGAAGACCCACGGAAACGACGGAAGAAGCTTAACGCCCGTCCAAAGATTTTTCGTCGGCTCCAAAATATTCTTGACCGGAGGTACAGGTTTTATAGGGATCCTCCTGCTGGAAAAGCTGCTGAGCTCCTGTCCCGACATTTCCAAAGTCTTTATGTTGGTCAGAGACAAAAAGGGAAAGGATGTTCGGACCAGAATGCAAGAGTTCTTCGACAATGAAGTATTTTACAGAGTTAGGGAGCAGTGTCCGAACTTCGCGGAGAAGATAGTTGCTGTGAAAGGAGATTGCGAGCTACCAGGACTGGGACTGCGCCAGCTCGACAGCGAGACGCTAATCAGAGAGGTGACAATTCCGAATTGATAGTATCGATCGCTACGCTTTGTTTTTTTTTTAATAGACATCAGTTCCAGCGTGTTTTAGGGTTTGTGGAGTACTTTGTCGTTTTGAGAACTTTAATTTTATTACAGGGCATAAATATAATGTACGAGGTGTGCTCAGAAAATAACCGAACTTTATTTTTTTTACTTTAATATTAATTTTATACATAATTGGTCTTTGTCTCCTTCAAAGTACTCCTCTCCCCTGTTCACACACTTTTATGGGTGAATTTCTTATTTAAAATCGGGGGTATTAGGAAAGCATACAATTATTTTTGTGTAGGTTGGTAGTACTATCCTTGATATTTTTGCAGATATTTTGCAAGTCAACATATTAAGCATAAATAAGAATTTTTTATTTTTTAAACAAATTCACCTTATTTTTTGGACAATATAATATTTATTTAAATATTGAGAAATGTTTAAATAATTGTTTAAAAAATATTTATTTTAGTCAAATCTGAACCACCTGTTAATGTTTTCAGAACGTTGTTTCTGTGCTGTAAAAACATTTTAAAACATTTAAAAAACGTATCAAAATGTTTTGAAAAATAATTTTATTATTAGTGCAATTTTCAGTAGGCCAGGAAAATAAGCTGGGAAATGACCATTTCGCGACTCTTTGTTTCGGCAAGCTGAATTTATCACTATAGATGCTAAATATTATCTA